GGGGTAACTCCGTATTCCTTGGTTTATAAGATGAAAGTTGTTCTTCCTATCGAAGTTGAGGTTCCGTCATTACAGGTATTGGCTGAGTGTCAAATAGTTGAGGCAGATTGGCAACAAAGCAGGTTCGAAGAACTCATGTTCTTTGATAAAAGAAGACTGAAAGCACTGTATCACGTCCATGGTTATCAACAAAGAATTGTCAGGGCTTTCAACAAGAAGGTTAAGTCCAGGAATTTGAAAGAGGGGGATCTAGTGCTCAAGGACAGCTGAGCTCCCATCCACGACCCTAGGGGCAAGTTCAGACCCAATTGGACTGGCCCTTACATCATCAAGTCTATCTGGTCGGGTAGAGTTGTCATTCTGATGGACCTAGATGGCCTTGAGTTCTCCCAGCCAATCAACATGGACAAGTTGAAGAAATACTATCCCTGAGTGGCTTGCTAGGCCGAAAACCCGAAAGGGCGACCTAGGCAAAAGTTAGAGCATGAAAAATTTGAAATAATAAAAACTAAGCTCGCAAGGTTAAAAACCCGGAAAGGGCGGCCTTGGCAAAAGTTAGAGTGCAAAAGGAGAGGGTTAATACACGAGTGAACTTGAACCGAACTATGTAAGGCTTGATTCCCATCTTTGGGATACGTAGGCAACTTCATTCTGAAGTCCAGCCATAAACACTTCCAAATCAACTTTGTCCATGTGATCATATTCATCGTCTTCGTCTATTCTGCATCCAAGAGCTCAGTTGGGATCTCCAGTGCAGTGCTGCTCAGACTAGGGGCAACTTTCCAGTTACAGGATTTGACGTTGTACATCTCAGTGATAGATCTCGGGCGTGTCTAGTTTTGATCCATACCGAAAATGGTTTTGAAAAGTTTTAATAAAAGTTGATTTTGTTCAAATTAATCTTTTTACGACTTAGACCATTTTTGGACCAAACGGAAAATTTTCAATACCCACAACCTTCAATTACATTTATTTCAGTACAGAGTTCTCCTACTCTTGAATACAAATTGAAGTTGTTTTTTATTACATTCATAAAGAAAACTTGAAAGTACTGATTAAAGCAAATAAACTTGGGGCATAGTCAAGTCAGGTGTTCCTGCGCCCCCTCCCAGAGCTTGTGGAAGCCTCTGATGCCGAAGTAGGCCCAACCTGCGCCTCTTCATCGAGCCAAGCTATGCACTCATCAGAGAGGATGCAACTGAAAGTGGGAGCGGGGGCCAGAAGCTCTCTCGTCCTCCATGCTGTGGCATATCGAGCTAGCTGAGCGCCTCGGACTGGAAATGCAGTAGGGTACTCTATCCCTTCTTCTGGGCAAGTCTGATCATGGCTGAATTGGCATCAGAATTGGAAAGGGAAGTAAAAGACACAATGTGTCAGGCCGATCAACTGAATTCCGGGCTGGCGAGACATACTGTAACTCATCACCGGCAGATTGAGCCAGGGGCAGTGCCAAGCAATCTTGACAGCGGACAGACTGTGCATCTATTCACACCACCATCCCTCATCTAGGGCATCAACTAGTCGTTGCCGGAAGAAATAGCTGCGTGCTGAATATGCTGGGCATGAGTCCACTACTCTCAACTTGTTCATCAACCATATCTGGGAAGGGATAAAAAATGAGAGATTAAAGAATAGAGAGGTGTACACGGAGAGAAAAGTGAGAAAAGGGTTTTGAGAGAAAAACCGAGCCTGAGGGCCGAGTGATATGAGAAATATATGTGAGATAGGGTGGGAAATATTACCTGTAGCAGTAGTGGGCTTCCCACGAATCTAGTCGTCTCTCGGCGATGGAAAGCATCCAAACCCATCAATGTCTCAGCTAGTGTCATGGCAATGCAGCTCTTGCCCTCTTTTAAGCCCTGGGCAATCTCAATCAAGCGGACGCTAGACCCACCGGAGCCTGGGGCAAGCAAGAAATGAGACAACATGCACAGATAAAGGGCATGTCGCCGAACACCCTACCAGTGATGGTCGCCGCAGTCACCGGCATCAGAAAACCGATGAATCAAGCTGGGGATGCCTCTCTTCCTTTCATTAGAAAACCCACACACACATAGCCCTTGGCTTACACACGGAGTCACAGCAAAATGAGAGTCCTATACTCTCAACACACATTTCCTCGCCTTTAGTTAGGCGGCATCACCACATCGTTTCCTGCACAACAATCCCATAGGGTGAGCATAAAGCCCAGTAGAAAATCTTTAACAAAGTATATACATTTTATACAAGTCTCAAGAGATGAAATGCACATGCCATGCTATGCTCTTTTGAAAGAAAATCACATTTTCATCTTTGAAAACCCTCATGCTCAATGATGTCATGCAATTTCAATTCTTCAAAACTTAACAATTCATTTCAAGAGCGGTAAATATGACTATGGTAATCCCTAGGTCGGTGTCTGCAAGTAGACTATACAAGTACTACCAATTTGTCATTTTTACCAGTATTAACTGGAAGGCTCGACACCTATCCGCGCGGGTTTTTGGTCTTTCACCCTGGACTCTCAGACCAATTTATTCAATGTCATCTACACCACCTATCAAGACTTACCAACGTATTTACCCCAAAACCATTTCATGAAAACTTGTTTCTCAACATTCTTTTCTCAATGCAAGTTTTCAAATCAACTTTCAAAGTTTAATGTAATCAAATGAATTGTTATGCCAATAACACAAGATGAATATAAATACTGTTATTCCAATTCATCATCCAAGGTATAACACAATTCCCTCTTCTCAAGTATCCTCAGCAATTAGTCATTTCAAGACTATTTCAACGTTTTGAACAATAATTTTCAAAATGAACAATAATTCTCATATTCCTTGAAATTTATCATTTATATAAATATAAATAAGAAATTTTCTAAACATCCATTTATTTTGACACACAAAATAAATATAGCATTATCATTCATGGATTTCCAGTCTCTAAAAAAAAATCTCCAAATTCTTAGTTTTCTCACCAAAACTATACAACTCAAATCTTTTGAAAGAAAACTTTCCAAAATCATCTTTTCTTCAATCAACGAAGATCAAAACTCATAAGATCATTTTAAAAGAACAAGAGACAAACCCACTTTCAAAATCACTCAACTTTTTGAATCAACAATCAATTTTCAAAGCTATTGAAGGATGATTTCGAAAATCATATAGATCTTGCAAAAATATATATATATAACTCTAAGAAAATCCCTACCGTAAGTTTTGAAGAAGAAATGGGATGAAACCTCCAAAATCAACGGTGTCGAAACTCGATCTTCACCGCACACAACGAAGCCCTCGAGGAGTTAACCAACTTTGATGAAGAACTTAGGTCCAAATCCCAAAGGATTTGAATAAATCAAAGATCTTGTGAGGTTTTTGGTAGGAAATGTAGAGAGAAGTGAGAGGAAATATTTTTAGCGAGAGAGAAATATACAAAAGTGATTCAACTTCAGCCCAAAGAGAGAAAAAAAGGGAAAAATTTTGGATCTCACCAACCCACTGCACCTCACTCCCGTACCTACCGTTTTAGCAGTGTGTAAGCTGCTCTCCCCTGAAATCCGCACGTGCGGCTTGCTTTTTCGCTAGAGCGAACAAGCAACTTTGAATGCACTTTGCATTTTGCTTCGGTGGCGCTGCCCCTCAACCTCGCTAGGGCGCTGCCCTAGGACCTGCCAAGGGGCGCTGCCCCTTGGACCCCCGCAAGCTAACCGGGCAGCTCGATCCCCGACATACTCAGCGAAGTGGCAAAACTGGGATCGCTATAATTGGGGCTGTCTGGGGAGAAGTAGTGCGGTTGCATAAAGACACTATTAACAATGTTTCTTTTTGTTGTGGGGAAATTTGAGTCATAACAAAATCCATGGAGCTTATCAATAGGACTGTTCGATTGAGTTATAACGGAGTAATGTACCCAATAAGGGTTTGTGAATGTCTTAAGTTTTTGGAGATATCAGCGAGTAATAAGAGCTTCTCTGTTAATAGATTGAAGAGGTCAATCGATCTTGAGGATGAGGAGAAGATTGATAGATCTTCAAATGTTGGAGGAGATCAGAGAGGTAGCACAGAGATGACAAGAGGGATTGAGGTCAAGAATGATAAGGTGGAATGTTGTGACGAGGTGAACCAATGTAGAGCAAACATGATACGAAGGGATGGAATAAATGCAGCTATGCAGCTTAGAGGTGAGATGAATGGTGCAGGTACTGATAATCGGGTGTCAGAAACATGCTTGGTTGCTACAGAGGGGAATGTGGAGAAACCAAACGGTAGAGTGGACTATCGGGTGGAGGAGCAGCTGCAAATGGAGATTCCAAGAAGAATGTTTGGGGAAGTAGCTGGGGAAATAGTCGGTGAAGCGGATATTGTGACCCTTGGGTTTGTCAAAACCTTTAGTGGGTCTGACGAAATTGGGCCAACTATCAATATTCAGGTAGTGTTAGAAGGGGTCCAATTAAAAGGTGATCGAAGTGGGCCTGAGGTAGAAGTCAATAATAGGGGATTTGGCCAAGGTTATGGTGTTGGGGCCCAGCCCAATCTAAACCTAATAAGAGTGTTAGGCGTTCCAAGAGGTGAGGATGTGTAGTTAACAATTAACAAATCAGAACCGGTGGTGAGAAATGCTAGTAATCGAAGGAGATTGGGAAGAGCTGGAGGTACCAGAGGAATGAGGAGGAAGAGGAGAGTTCAAAGAAATCCAACTTCATTCTTATCTGGGTTTCAAAGAGGAGCAGTCTTCAAGGCAGTAGCTGTTGTTTTATCTCAGTCTTTGTCAAATGAAAGTCAACTGAGTAGGAGGAGGAAGAAGATCATGGAGGAAGCACAAGCAACCTTGCAGCTTGGTCAACAATTGGGGATGAACTATGAAGCAAAGAGACTAAAGTAATTCAAAGAATTGTTCAGTTGGAGCAACAAGATGAAGAACGATTTGAAAAGGAGATAGGAGGTGTGCGAGGTCAAACCTAATGGACCAAAAGCTTGGGGTTTATTTGGAGTATGAACTAGTGATCAATGAACGTAATGTCTTGGAATGTTAGAGGGTTGGGAAGAGCAGATAAACGGCGTAGAGTTAGACAAGTTATGCAGGATAGAAACGTGGATGTTTTGCTTCTACAAGAAACGAAAAAAAGTAGTACAGAAGAGATGTTTGTTCGATCATTTTGGCCGTGGGAGAGGATGGAGTTTATGGCTGTTGATTCTGAAGCTAGTGCTGGAGGGTTATTGAGTATATGGAATCCAGAGGTGTTTCAGCTGCTGGATTGTTGCTGTCATAGAAATTTCCTGCTCATATTAGGTATAGCTCTTAGTTCATTTGAATGTGTTTTTATAAATGTTTATGGTCCTAATGATGTGTCCAAAAGAGCATTGTTGTGGGACACTATTATTAATATTAGAACAAGTTTCCAAAAGCCTTGGTGTATGGGAGGGGATTATAATGAAATTAGAAATATTGAGGATAGAAGAGGTTGTGTTAGGAGAGACAGAGGAATGTTAGAGTTTAACAATTTCATTGACCAGCTGGAGTTAGTGGAAGTTCCTATGTTAGGTAGTAGATTTACTTGGTGTAATTCTATGGAGGGGGAGCGGTGGAGTAAGATTGATAGGTTTTTGCTGGACGCAATATGGTTGGAAAAGTTTAGGTTTCAAATGTGGGGTTTACCCAGATTGGTGTCTGAACATTGTCCACTTTTGTTGATGGAAGATAAGAGGAATTGGGGGCCTAGACCTTTTAGGTTCCTTAATGCTTGGACATTGTACCCAGGTTTTCTTTCAGCTGCTAAAAGAGCTTGGTCGGAGCATCAGGTACAAGGCTGGGCTTGTTATAGAGTGCAAAGAAGGTTAGGTGGTATGAAAGTTGAATTGAAAAAATGGAACATTGAAGTGTTTGGATTGGTTGAGGAACAACTAAAAAAAGCAGAGGAGGAATTGCATGCATACGACTTATTAGCAGAATCTAGGGAGTTAGCATCCATTGAAATTGAATCTAGAAGGGAGGCAAAACATTTGGTTTGGAAGCTCAGAAAAAGGAAGGACTGGTTATGGTTTCAAAAGTCTAAGTTGAATTGGGCTCAACATGGTGATAGGAACATGAGGTATTTTCACATTTGTGCAAGTAAGAGGCAAAGAAGAAATATGGTGGACTCAGTGGTAGTTAATGGGGTTAGCATTGAAGATCCTGAGCTTGTGCGGCTTGAAGTGGTCAGACATTTGTCAAAGGCATTTGCTGAAGAGTGGCCATCCAGGCCTATGATGTTTGGAAATTTTGCATCAATTGGTAATGTATACAGAGGGGAGGTTCTTGAACCTGAGTTTACAATGGAAGAAGTCTGGGAAGTAGTAAAAGGAGTGTGATGGGAATAAAGCGCCAGGGCCAGATGGATTCAACATGGCATGCATTTAGAAATGTTGAAAGTTCATGAAAAGTGTCTTGTTTGACTTTATGATGGAATTCTACCATCATGGTAAACTGGTTAGAGGACTGAATAGCTCCTTTATCACCCTTGTCCCAAAAAAAGAGTGTCGTAATAGTTTGTCAGATTATCGACCTATTAGTTTGATAGGGGTTGCTTATAAAATATTAGCAAAGGTGCTTTCACAAAGATTGAAGAAGGTGATACCAGAAGTTATCAGTGAAGTTCAAACAACTTTGTTGGGTGGAAGAAATATCTTCGATGGAGTAATGATTGCCAATGAGGTTGTGGATTGGTGGAAGAAGTCAAAATGGGAGGGAGTTATTTTAAAGCTTGACTTCGAAAAGCATATGATTCAGTTAAATGGGAGTATCTGTTTTCCATGATGGCAAATTTAGGGTTTGGAGAAAGATGGATTAGATGGATAAAAACTTGTGTAGCCACAGCAAGAGTTTCTGTCTTAGTTAATGGATCTCCCACTAATGAATTTTTCCCACAAAAGGGGTTGAGGCATAGTGATTGTAGACGTCCCCGAACGTCCCGGGAGGGAATCCCGTTTTGTTCATTTGGGGCTTACTACAGTTCGGACTCAACGTCACGGTCCTCTATCTAATCTCGCAGAGTGCAATGCAAGACCGATGAATCATCAAAGAGTCCAAATCTGGCAAATCGTTTTGAAAAACTGATTTTTAGAAAGAAGTGCCAAACATGGACTACTTTGCTAGATACAGAGTCGCTACCTAAATATTTTATTTTAGGGGAATTTAGGAAACCCTGACTCGTGCCTAAGGCCACGTGTCCGTCATTACCAAAGTTGCCTCGGCTCGGGAACTTGGGTACGATTGGGGAAGGTCACTTTGTGAGCACCCTCGCTTGCCCGATCAAAGATCGGCCTCTACTAACCATGATATCGAGTTTTGAAAACATTATGTACTCTTATTCCGGTTATTAGCCTAGAATTACTATGTGATGCACACAGCATACAAGTATAGACTAGATTACCTAAGTTGGAACAAAACATCGCATATCCGTGTGTTTTGGAAATGGTTTAAAGTTTGCTACTCGCAAGTAGGCTAAAACACGGATTCCAATGAATTGTTCCAATTCAAGCAATCCAACCTTCACCCACAGGCATTCAGGCAGTTATATCACATAAGCAATTAGCCTCATGGCAAGCATGCTGTCATGTTAACATTCACATACATGCAAGATGCTAAAGCATAAACACTCACAGTGTACTTCGAGCCAAAACAAGAAACTAGTTAGTAATCATGCATGATCCCAGTTCATGTTAGCAATGGCTAATGCAACGCATACAAAATGCAACTAAGATAGGCTCGGCTACCCTAAGAATGGCATGTGAAATGCAACAACTCGATACACGTATTCAAGTTGGAATTGAAATACTATGCAATTAGTATGATGCGCCAAGCCCGGTGCGTGCAATATGAATGAATGTATGCAAACGTGCTATCATAAGTATGCTAATTGAACCATGTCCTAAACTATCCATCAAAAGCTAGTAAATAAAAGGGAGAAAGACGTGGGATTGGAAGACATTCACACACGCACGCACACTTATTACAAATTCGCCCTCTCGACGGAGGGTCCGAAAGAATAATACAAACCCAATAAATAATTGACTACTCTAGCTAATTGATTATTACAGTCCCTTAATTAATTAAAAAATTAATTACAAAAATAAACTAAGTATGAATTTCAAAAGGCCGCCGTAGCTCCGCCTCGAAATGATTGGATGATGCATGCTCGATTTGCCTTGCTCGGAAACCTGTTGCCATGCCTCTATTGCCTCTGTTTGCACTGTTCTGCACCTCTGATAATGGTGAAAATTTTTAGGATGCTTCGGAATTACTCCCTGATCATTATGGGATATCACCGGCCAAGATACCGGATCACCGGCTATGGAAATATGGTAACCGACCAAAAGTTGGTCCATCGGTTGGACTTTGGTAGTCGGCCGGCACTGAAGGTTGCCGACCGGCTATTTCTTCCTGCAGAACACTGGTTTTGCTACAACAGAGAACAGACAGTGCATGGCATGGAATTTGTAAGCCAAATATATGCACAACCACCCTCCCTATCATGCTATGAACTCAAGAGAGTATGGCTCTCGACCCTCGGGCCACTAATCACGCATTTCAACGCATGATGGCCAAAGGGGCCAAGTGTGCATATTAATGTAAAATGGATGCAACAAAACAAATGAATGCTCCACACTCTATCATGTTGAGATCAAGAGTGTTGATGACCGAGGATTGAGACGCGTTTCGTCACTTTGAGTACGAACGTCCCTCATTCCTCATGTTTGGCTTGACACCCCAAGCCAAACATAATGTAATGTATGCATGCCATATACAATGCAACATGAGCATGTTGACTCAATGAAATCTAATGCTACCTAAGCATGCAAGTTAATGCCAATGTAACATGAACATGCCAAGTATACAACAAGATTATGCAATGCAACTAGCTAAGCATCATGCAATATACTAAACATGCAAACATGATATAATGCAAGTATGCAAATAATGTAACGCAACATGAGTGTGCCTACTCAATGCAACTTGCACAAGCATGTAACAAAGTGTAAACTAGCAAGCATGTAACAAGATGCAACATGTCCAACATGCAACTATATACAAGGATGGGCTTAAACTGGAATGGGAGACCTCAGCCATGCCCCAAAACAGTGGCCAAAAGTGATGGATGAAGGCACCAAAATGCAAAGCAAACATGCATGCTAACTAGCCTATCACTTGAGCATGGAAAGGGGAACTTTTTTAAACACATTTAAAGAGAGACTAATGTAGACAAATGACATGCATGCTAAGCTCTGAAAATGTATAAAGGATGATTCCAAATCAACCAAGCCATGTTAATAAGGCATGCAATGAAGGCCAAAACTTGGGGCTAACAAAAGGGAGTCAAGCTATGGTCATGCCAACCAAGCCTCAACGAACCAAAATGACTTAAATTAGTCCTAGGGTAGACCAAAATAAGGCTAGGACATGCATGGAATATGACCAAAACATGCTAAGAAATAGGCACCAAAACAAGGGCATTCAAGACTACAAAGAGAGTATTCCACTACAACCACCTCAACCAAACATGGCATGGGTTAGGCAATGAAAAACAGAGCTATAATATGCCAAAATGAGTCCTAAAACCCACTGATATGGCAGCCCAAAGACTTGAACAAAGAGGCATGCACAATGACCCTTTTTCAAAGCATAAAACAACAACTCTTCAAAACATTGAAAGGATGGTAAATGCAAGTATACAAGCATGGAACATGGACTGAAATAGCATGATAAATGATTCCAGATCACTGAAATAGCCCAAATAAAGCATGCTCATGACTCACACACCCAAGGCTAACAAGCTAAAATGCATGGTGGCTGTACAAAGCATGGAAAACATGACCAAATCAACAACAAACAGAGCTTAAACATGACACAACATGGCTAAAAGCTTCATGAGGTCAAGCCAAAACATGCAAGCATGATGGTCTAAATGTATGCTACATGTTATGACAATAGAGGGGATTACAAAGCAAGTGCGTGACGCATGCAATAGGCTATCAATCTGACCAAAAAAAGAGGTCTAATATGATAAACTAACACCAAATACCCACTGAAATGAAGCCAAATAAAGTTAAGCAAGCATGTTACCTTTATAAGCCTTAAACACAAGCAAATGAGACACAAAGGGAGAGGGGTGTCCCTCCCCTATACATGACTTCAAAACCACTTCTCTGCCACTGAAAATCCTCTGGATTTCAGTGGTGAGAAGGTCAAAATAAAGGGGTTCCAAAGCCCTAAGAGAAAGGCACAAAAAGAGGCCAAACAAGGCCTAAGAGGGTGTAAAAAAACCCCAACCCAAAAGCAACCTTAAACAAACATCTTAAGCATGAAAATACAAAACTTCTATCAGTTATACACTAAGCTCAAAACAACATGCAAGATGGGTTAAAAGCTTAAGGCAAAATGGGGAATAAAAGAGGTAGTTCTCACCCTTGAAGAACACTTCAAGAACACCAAAATCCAGCACCTCCTTTTGATCAAACTAACTCAAAACTCTGAAATCAACCCCTCAAGACCTCAGTAACCGAAGTATGGTGTAACACTAGGTGTCTTAGTGCAAAACTAAGAACAAAAACTCCTTTCGAACACTTTTACACACACAAGTCAAGAGAGAGAGGGAGATATAGAGAGAGAGTGATATATATCATATATGTCAGATTGTTCAACCTCTGGAAAGGGAGGAGAGGGCCTCCTCTTATAGGAATCCAATTCCTAAGCTTCTTGGAGAAGCTAACATAAGGGAGCAAATCCCTCCATACACGTGTATGGTGTATAGAGGGGGTGTATCGTGGATGCCAATTATGACAGCTGGCATAAAATATCTGCCAAAAGCAGATGAAAATGGGTCGGCTAAAAAATATGGCCGATTGACCAACAAAAATGGCCGGCCGACCAAACACATTGTCGACCGACGAAAAAAATTGGCCGGTAACAAGAAAATAGAGCCGGTGGCCTCAAGCCAAGGCCGGTGAGGTGTGAGGATGGCCTACAAGCCATTCTCTGCCCTCAGAAGCAAAAACACAAGTGTTTGGTGTACAACCAAGCACAAAACAAACAAGTCGAGAGGTCTTGAGGCAAGGCGCGTGACCGAAACCTCCGAGAAATCAAAACGAACACGAACATGGATGATCACCGAGTGTTCAAACGGTAATGTCCATGTCTTGAGGACGGTCAAAAATGGGGTGTCTACAGTGATCCTTTGTCACCTTTCCTATTCAATATTGTAGCAGAAGGGTTGAATCTGCTGCTGGAAAGGGCTAAGAGTTTGGGTGTAATTAAAGGAGCTTCTGTTAGATCTGCAGGGTTAAAACTATCTCATCCTCAGTTTGCAAATGAT